GGGGCACCCCCGCGGCGGGGGTCCGGGGGTCAAACCCCTACCCCGGCTTTGCCCCCGGGGCCCCCCGCGTGACAACCCCAGTTATGGCAAGCCAGCCATTAGTGATGACTCCCGAAGAGGTCGCCATACAGCGAGCTGCGGATTGCGAGGCACATTTACAGCAGGCTTTGGGAGAGATTAAGGCAGAGAAGGAAATAATGATTAGAAGAAGAGTCAGGATGCAGCGAAGACAAGCGGACATTAGCGAGTTAGAGGAGACGGACCCAGCAGAGTTGGATGATGATGTGAGGACCCTAAGGGCGGTCTTGCTAGGTGTACTAGAGATGCAAGATCACCAGACGACAATCTTACAGGACATCAGCAGAGTCTGGCTGTGATGGTCAGGCGAGCGCAGGCGGCGCCATCACTGTCTGGGCCCGGTGGCTGGCCCGTTGTACATCCTCCTCCTTTTGTCCCACCGGTGACTGGGGTATCACCATATGTAGCTCCAACGTCGGTTCAGCCTGTTTGCCTAGCTATACCATTAACAGGCGGGTTCTTAAAAGGTCCTAGTGTGCAGGTTCCTGTACAGATAGTGTTTTCCCAACCTCCGTCGCACGTTGTCGTAAGCGGGCAGCCTGCTGTCTTGCAGCCTGCAGAGCCGCAGGGTACACAGCCCCAGCATCAGATAATGCAGCAACCTGCTCCTCCGGGTCCACAGCCCCGAATGGTGCAGGTACCGGGAGAAAGTCAGTGGGTTCCTAAGACGTCCATCACCACTCCTAAACCCTTTACGGGGGATAAGAGGGGCGAAGACCTTGACACGTGGTTGAGGTCTGTGCCAGTCTACGTTAAGTGCAAACTTACCTTGCCGCACGAGGAAGTGCTTGTGGCTGCCTCCTATCCAGAGGGGAGTGCATCAAGATGGTTGAGTGGTTTAGTGCAGTTGCAGGGATATGGCTCCGCGCTTGGGCGGTCACCCAGAAACTGGATGACTTCCTTAAGTTGGTGAAAGATAGGTGGCATGATCCTCAGGAGGCTCAAAAGGCCACTGACGCGATCTTGACTCTACATAATAGGCAGTTTAAGTCAATAAGGGAGGCCACCGACGCAGTAGAGCGCCTGATTTGTGTCCTTGGGGTGCGCTATGACCCCCAGGTTCTACTCACCTCCTACCTGAGATGCTTTCCTATGCCTCTTAGGAATCAGTTAGCAGGTGAGGCCAACATCAATATGCACAACTTTCCCTCGTTTAGCAAGAAGGCCCTAGACCTGGAGGCAAACATAGAGCATGGTCAGACACCCACGACAGGAGGTAGGAAGAAGTCACTGCCTCCAAACTCGAACGCGAAGGGCCGCATTATGTTCGTCGACAACGATGGCTCTACCATCAATTTGGATGACGACTTCCAGGCGAGCGTAGGTTCAGAGGCTGGCAGCGTAGAAGCTTCAAGGGGTGGAGTAGTCGCTGCCGTAGCTCGGAATGGTAAGGCGGCCGGTAGACGTCGATGAGGTTCCCGGTCCAGGAGTCAAGTTGACCCCAACGGTCCTCCATGAGAGAAAGCGGGTCTCAGTGAGGACGTGTGGAGAGATCGGTACACACGGCAGACTTTTATCCTTTGTGGCCAATACGACCATAATGAGTTCAACTTGAAGTGCCGAAACAAGAAGGTGACCGAAAAGATCCCGCCTACGATTGGGCAGGTGTTGGGATCCTCTGCTCTCGTTGGCAGCAATGTGGCCAACGGTTTTGACACTGCTCCAGGAAACGCGTCGGGCTAGTAGGAATAGTATCTGTTCCTGCTAGGGTCGAGGTGGTGGACACACCCTCACCATCTCGAGAGATGGCCCAAGCTACTGACTCCATCGTCGTCTCGCAAACACATTCAGACTCATCGAACCTCTTTTTGATGAATGTGTTTGAATCCTTAGAGGAGCTAGAGGAGGAGTGGTCTAGATCAGACCCCCTAGCTTCTTGGACGACATTAGCTAAAGCCCCTAAGGGAGAGATGTTCGTCGGCGAGGTAGTCATCGGCGAACGCAAGGCCGGGGCCTTTTATGATACTTTCTCGACACGGAATTTCATTAGTCGCACGTGCGTTGAGAGGTTGTTGTTACAGGGGTAAGTGCAGCGTCTGAGTTGACATGTGGAGTCGACCTGTGCCAACAAACAACGCATGGTAGTCAACGACTACCTACAAGACATTGAGTGTCTTTTCCCATACGCGGGAGGGGAATTGAGACATTGTGTCTCATTCCTAGTGAGCAGTGATCTCCCTATGGATATCTTATTAGGTATGTACTACCTCTCCGTTGCACAACCCCAACTTGACTGGGACCGAAAAGTGGTCAAACACACTTTGTCGGGTGGGGGGACCGCCAAATTACGTAAGTTTAAGGCTAGTAGCCTGATTGAGTCCTACGGATGCATGTGCGTGGTTGCGTTCTATAACTGTTATAAGCAAAATCCGGACGAGGGTGTGTATCTAGTTTATGTCTCTGCAACAAGCGAGTCGGTGAAAATGTCGCCGAAGATAGAGGGAGTAGTTGCCAGGTACCCTCATCTATTTGAAGAGCCGAGAGGGGTTGTCGAGAGGGAGGTCGTCCACGCGATAGAGATTATCCCAGAGTCTAGCATCCCGAAGGGTAGGATCTATCGGATGTCTCCAGGCGAGTTTGACGAGCTTCGCCGGCAGCTCAAGGAACTCATAGAGAAGGGTTGGATCCGTCCAAGTGTCTCCCCTTACGGATTGTCAGTTTTATTTGTGCCAAAGAAGGGGGGTACGCTGAGGATGTGCATTGACTATAGGGGCCTCAATGCCATCACTGTCAAGAACCGAGAGCCCCTACCGCGCATCGACGATTCGGATTTGCTAGATAGAGTGCAAGGGTGTCGGTACTTCAGTAAGATAGATCTGAAGTTCGGGTACCATCCGATTCCAATCCGGCTCGGGGATCAACACAAAACCGCATTTTGGACCAGATACGGTCTGTACGAGTTTGTGGTCATGCCTTTTGGCCTTTGCAATGCTCCTGGCACTTTTTAGCACGCTATGAATCGGATCTTTCATGACTACTTGGATACGATTGTCATCGTGTACCTCGATAACATACTTATTTTTAGTAGGACTGTTGAGGAGCATGTTGCCCACTTACACAAAGTCCTCAGTCTCCTTCGGCAACACAAGTTCAAATCAACAGGGAGAAATGCAAGTTTGGTCGCACCCGGATCTTGTACTTGGGTCATGAGATTTCCGCGGAGGATTTAAAGCCCGATGACGCGAAGGTGACCAACATTCGTGACTGGTCGCGTCCTCAGTTTGTGACTGAGATAAGATCTTTCTTAGGTAGGACCGACTACTATTGTAACTTTGTTAAGAACTATAGCATAGTGGCCGCTCCTTTGACTGACCTGACCCGCCTTGACACCCCATGGGAGTGGACGGACAGGTGTGAGGCTGCTTTCAGACATCTGAAGCATGCGTTGACGCATCATGAGGTCTTGAAACTTCCTGATCCTGACAAGCCGTTCATAGTAACCACGGATGTCAGCCAATATGGCATTGGTGTCGTGCTAGCGCAGAAGGAGGGGCCAAACTTGAGGCCAGTGGAGTACATGTCCAAAACGATGCCCTTTTAGAAGTTGGTTAAGTCCACCTAGTATGAGGAGTTGTACGCGATCTATAAAGCGCTAACCCATTGGAGGCACTATCTCCTTGGGAGATTCTTCATCGTCAGAACTGATCATCAGACCTTGAAAAGAATGAGAACTCAGTCTGTGCTCTTCGATGCGCTGAAACGCTATATCGAAGTCATTGAGCAATATAACTTCGAGCCCCAGTACCTCAAAGGTGAGTACAACAAAGTTGTTGACGCACTGTCGCGTAGGCCAGAGCCTCCAGACTTCTCCGGTGCGTTGATCACTAAGTTTGGGCTTGCGGACGATGCCACTCGTTCTTTGGCGGAAGCCTATCGCGAGGACCAGTTCATGTCTGATATCATACGCCGACTCGGGGCGAAGGACAAGGTGACTTCTCCCGAGTTTGAGTGGGTCAACAACTTGCTGTTCCTTGAGAAGGTCGGGAATAAACGTTTGTGTGTTCCTAATAGAGAGTATTTGCGTAGTTTATTTTTAGGAGAGGGTCACGATGCCACGAGACATTTTGGTTTCAAGAAGACTGCAACCAATCTGTTGCAGCAGTTCTGGTGGCCCACGATGATGAGAGATGCCAAACTGTATGTCAAGACTTGTCAAGTTTGTCAACGTGACAAACCCCGGACACAGGCTGCTCTTGGGCTGCTCAAGCCCCTTCCCATTCCGGAAAGGCCTGGTGAAAGCCTATCCATGGACTTCATGGATGCGCTAGTCACCAGCAAGAGTAGCATGAGGTACATCTACGTCATTGTGGATAAATTTAGTAAGTATGCTAGGTTAGTGGCCATGCTGGAAACAACAAAGACCGAGTACGTTATCAAGCTATTTAAGGAAAACTGGGTTAGAGACTTTGGCCTGCCGAAGTCTATAATCAGCGACAAGGATGTCCGATTCACCAGTGAACTTTGGAAGGCCGCAGCAGCCGAGCAAGGAATGCAGCTGCAGATAACTGGAAACCATCCGGAGGCAAATGGACAAGCAGAGCAGATGGACCGCGCTTTTCAACACTTGCTAAGGCATTACATTAAGCCTAATCAAGTGGATTGGGATGAGAAGCTTGCTCTCATCGCCAGCCTGTACAACAACGTAGTTCATAGTGCCATGGGGGTAAGTCCCAACAGCTTACTACTAACGTTCAAATGCAGAATCCCACTTGATTTTTTGCTACCTGAGAACCAGTCTACTGCAGCTCCAGGCACTTTGGAATTCGCTTATAGATATGAGAGTCATATGCTGCAGGCAGTAGAACACATGCACAAAGCACAGACGGCGATGATCGAATCTGAGAACAAGCAACGTCGCCCATCTATGTTTCAGGTAGGGAACAAGGTCTGGGTCAAGGCTTCGGAACTGGGATAGGAGCATGGGATTTCCCGTTAGCTCATGCCACAGTACTTTGGGTCATGGGAGGTTTTGGATGTAGTAGGGAACAAACCAGACAGACCCTCCTATGTCATTCGGATCCTTGGACACCTTCGCACTTACCCTGTTTTTCACGCCTCCAAGCTTGCAACTTTCAGGGAAACAGATCAGTTTCCATCTCGTCGCTCAATGCTGCCACCAACCATGGATGGAGAGGTCGACATCGACGAGATTGTGGACCATACAGAGATCCCAGTGCCAAGACCCACAGGCAGAGGACGTCCTTCGAGGCCGAAGCTGCAGTACCGAGTTCGGTTCAGACATCATACTGATCCAAAGGAGGATAGATGGTTCACACGGGAAGAACTCATGCAGACCGGTCCACAGGTTGTCGCCCATTACAAGAATGCGGCAGAAAGGAAAGCGCCAGATTGATTAAACTTCTCAGAGGACTAGCGAAGAATGGAGGAGGGAATGCGAGGCATACGGCCTCGAAAAGCCCTATTGGGCCCCTATTTGCAACAGCGTCGGCCGCCCCAAGTGAAGGCAGGCTCGACAGACGACAAGAGACCTATTTTGGACTACTTCGCAACTGGGGAAAATTCAGGCAGTTGTGCAGCGCCAGTTGGTTGAAGGCGCCCAGGCCCTGGCCTCCTTTATCAAATGTATCTAAGTCAGGCCCTAGGAGAGATACGCAGCATAGGCCCAACTCAGGCTGCGAGCAGTTGGGCACAGGTAACTGTCGGTGGCCCTGGGCCTGATTCGTTTGGACTGAGGCTCAGCCTCCCTCGGCATCCCGGAAGCTTCTGGGCAGGGACACAGCACAGCCAGGCTGCACGCGAGGCAGGCAGGCCACTTCCATGTAGGAAAGGGCCTGCTTACGCATAGGGCATTCGGGCACTGGCTGCATTGCGCACAAGCGCTGCTGCGCTATCGCTGGCCAGAGCTCACGCGCTCACGGGCGAGCTGGAAAGAGCAGGCAGCCATAGCCGAGCTGCGCTGCTGTATGCTGGATGGGGCGCATGGTGGTCCTTGGGTGCACGTGGCATCTGTGAGTTGGGGAACGAGGTTGTGAGTGATACGAGAGACATACCTCGTGCTTGAGGTGTGCGGCATTGGCCGAGATCTGCTCGTACTACGGGAAGCTGTTGACGTCATCAGCGGCATCGTAGAGTAGGCTAGATAGGATCTGCCATCTGTAGTCTGAGCGCCGAGCGCCAGATAGGATATCAACATTGGTTCTTCGTTGATGATGATGAAACTA